AATGCATTTAATTTGAGTTTTTTTGAAGTTTCTACACATGTATTCTACTTCTTCTGTATTGATGTTTGCCAATAAGTTCTATATTGTTAGGCATGTGTATAGCTCTAATTCATCTTCTGCTAGGTATGCATTTTTATCATCTTTCTTTTCATTAAATTTCTTGTATTCTTTGGGTTTATCCTTGTCTTTTCTGCTGTTGTTTGATATATAGCAGCTCAGTTTCTTTTCTTGACTTTTTGAATCTTCCAAAATTAGCTTAAGCCAATCTCCTTCTTTCTCTTTGATTCTATCTATTGCTGCATCTCTACTAAATTTGCAGTCAAAATTTATCTCAATCCAACTGTTCCTATTTTTGAAAACCTCTTTAATTGTTTTAATGTGATAATTGCCACATAGGATCCATTGTGTATATTTTAATCTTTCTTTTTTGTTTGCACCTAGTATTGCATATGTTGGCATATTTGCTTTGAATGATTTGCTCTTGTTATATATACGATTTGTTGGAGACTACTGGCTCTGTTCTATTGTGTCTACAAGTATTAGTATTTCATGATTTTCCTCAGTTATTGACCTTATACTTTTTTTAATTTTATCTACTATTTTTTCTCTTTCCGTTTGTCATAGAGAATCTGATACAATTAGTTTTCTATAGAATGATGTTAATATGCTAAGATCTTGCATTTGGTTGATAACTATACTTAGATTTGTGCTGGCTTCTTCATCACTGCTCATTTCGTATTGTTGTCTCTTCTTTTCAATATAAGCTATATCCATGTTCTCTGTATTTTCACCTCTTTCTATTCCTTTCATTTCTACTTTCTCTTTTGGTATTTCTTTATTCTTTATGCTCAACAAGTAGTTAAATGATTTCGGATTTTGATCTACTGCTAAAAGCTTACCTGCCCATTCTTCTATCATGCTTCTTGTTAATGAAAAGGTCTCTGCTCTTTTGAGTGTTTCAAGTACTTGCCTATAAAGAAGTACATCACCTATTGTGATATTTTTTGGATCGTAAATTGTAAGATCTTTTGCTATATACTCTAAATTGTTAGAGTTGTCTATTCTTTTTGATAAAATTTTATCTAATACTCTGCTGTCTATGTATCTTCTATTTCTATCACCAAAACCTCTTATATGTTGTGTTAATTCTATGTCACCTGAAAGGCCTAGTCTGCACTATACTTCTGCTTCTATTTTGGTTTGTTGTTTTTCTATTTGTTTAACAATACACGTAAAACCTTTTATCTTTTATTTCCTAATTAGAATAGTATTGTCATTTGTATAATATGTTATATTTGTTGTTGTTTTGTTGTCAGCTGATCACGTGTTCCAACTGTTTGTTTTCAGGATCGAGAGTGATTTTTCACTTTTTCAAAAATAATAACAAAAATTTTGTAAACTTTTCAAACTAAGTTAAAACTAATTAAGAAACTTGTTGAAGAAAACTATATCTATATTAATATATTGATAGAAAGCTTATATTTCTTTATACCAAACCTTTCTTTAATAGCTTTGTGTAAGTTTATCTAATCTATTTTGTTCTACTTCTATATGTTAACTTTGCTTATTAAAGTTCATCAAAGATTAATTTTCTTACTATTACTTATTGCTACTCTTATTTATTTTTATTTCTAAGTTAATCAGCTGTATTTCTATGTTTTTTAACTTTTTCTTTAGTGCCTTACGTATTGCTTACTTGTGAGTTTTAATGTTATTTTATGTTTTTGCTTTCTGTGAATTTCAGTTGAAAGATCTACAGAAGAGAGTTCAATGTTTATAAAAAAATTTTTATGATATATACAAGTATATATTTTTTAAATATAATAATAGTTCAAAATTTTACTATAATGGATAAATTATTTTATTTATATTTTATAAAATTTTAATAAAAATTGATTGTAATTTAAAAAAGTTTTATTAGTAATATATGTTGATTTTATATGAAAATTCAAAAAAACATAAAAAATGATCTACATACCCTCTACCCTAACAGAGACATGATATGTCACATGTAAAATTTTAATATAAGATCAAATGAATGACGCACCAAAATTTCATATGCAAAATTTTGCTTTTTTGATTTATCTAATAATAAAAAAGTTGTCCGTTTAATTTCTGAGTATCATTTTGCAAATTCTCTAGTATCTGAAGGTTCTTTTTATTGAGTTTTAAGGGTAATTGAAAATAAAAAGGAAAAGAATGCGGGCCCTAAAGTTAGTCTATTTTTTACGATTTTTGTCATTTTTTTATAAGTGATGTACATCATTTATCCAAAACAGGTAATAACAACCGTCAGCTTAATTGATGTTCCTTTTCGCCTATTTTGGATAAATGATGTACATCACTTATAAAAAAATGACAAAAATCGTAAAAAATAGGCTAACTTTAGGGTCCGCATTCTTTTCCATTTTATTTTCAATTACCCTTAAAATTCAATAAGAAGTGATACTCAAAAATTAAATGGACAACTTTTCTATTATTAAATAAGTCGAAAAATCAAATTTTTACATATGAAAATTTGGTGCGTCAATCATTTTGATCTTATATTACAAATTTTACACACATGATCTGTGTGACAAATCGGGTGTCTGCTAAGTTATCCGGGCAATTGATTACGTCAGCCAATCAGACGAATTTCCTCCTATGACAACTAATCGATTGGAAGAATTTTTACCAACTCGGCACTAGTTTACCCTAGTGTATAAACATGTAGATCAATATAATCCAAAATTTAAGAACAAAAAATTCTATTAAGTTAAAGTTACATAAAGGTAGGATTTAAGGTTAGGGTAAGGCATAGCCTATACTAAAATTTTGCAAGGAATTTTTTTTATTAGAACTCCAAAGGTAGTTTCATATATAAAGTTTTAAGTATTATAAGCATCGTGTTTGATACACTAGTGTACAAATAGTAATTGCCAAGTTTTAAAGTGTATCTAAAAGCAAACTGATTTATTAAAAGAATGTATAGGGTAATAATGGTAATTATACGTATAAAATATTTATTTTTTTCTCTTTATTAAAACCACTCCGTTATTATAAATATCGCTGTAATAATCTATATCACCTTGTTACATAATATCAACACTATTTAAAATTCTTGTTATAAATTTACATTATAATAATAATACATAAAGGTCATTTAGTACACCAGTTCATTAATAAATTCATCATTGATCCATTAATTATTGACTCATCAACTCTGTTAGAAGCCAACTATAACGTCATGATTAGATATCACTTCCAATAACGCAGTACCATTACCAAATGAACCTTGTGATGGTAAAGGGGTTTTTCTCCTATTTGTGCTAAACAGCACCTTACCACTTGTCATTACATTATATGTTCCAGCAAAAGTCTTGTTCTATGTAACATGAACACCAAATTACTAATTTGCGAATTAATAAACGATAAATCAAGTAGCGAACTTACCATACGTAATCTCACCCTACCGCGATTTGCGTTTACATAGATTTTGGGACTGGTAGCGTTTGCAATATTAATAGTTAAGTTGATATCACCGTTAGAAGTTTGATTGACGATGAGAGTATTTGAAAGAGATGTTATTCTTCCATGGATAGAAGCTTGTTCCGAATATAAAGTTGCGCTTGTAACGTTAAATCTATTAAGATGAATATCTCCAGTAGTCGTACGAACGCTGATAAATTGATAAGAAAAATTCCCAAGAATAACATCAAAGTTATCAACTCCAATAACCATGGAAGAATTTGATTGTTGTGGTATGATTAGGTCTACAAGTGCACGGAAACAAGAGTTAGGCGGGCCAAAGAGATTAAAGGAATCGGTTGAAATTGATTTCTGATAATTAAATAATTAAAGTAATAATTACAATAATAATTAAAACGATTTAAAAAGGAAGTATAATTTAAAGTTTGAAATATCAAGAGATATACATACAAATGTCAATTTGTAATTGGAATTTGAAGGGTCATCAGTAACATATACGTTTCCTTGCTTAGGAGAAGCAACACGGGTATTTATTGTGACATTTGTTACATCAGGAGAAGGATTTTGATATGTCCGAAGACTCAAAGAGCCACCATTCTATTTGAAGAGAGACAATTACATAAATTACACGTTATTATAGCTTCAAAACGAGTGAATATAAAAATACAAACCTGAACAGCAGTATCGGATGAATCAATAGTAAATGAAGTAAAAACATTTGGATCATAAGATGAAATATTAGGAATAGCAGTTCCTGCGTTAAGATTATTGCATATATTGCTATTTGTTTTGGAAATTACCTGTTCGTTCAAAAAGAGTAAAGTAAATATAATAATCATAATAACAATAAATAAAAACTGTATACAAAATCAAAAAATTCAATTTACTGCTAATATAATTGATATTGCTATTAACGATGAAATAAGACAGCAACATCTAGCACGTCTAGAAGTACCCCTTCGTTGCGCTATATATGTCAAATATCCAATTTGATAAGTTTTGTGAATCATTTATTAAACATTACAATATATTACAAGAGAAAATCTTTACGTGTTGAAGCAACGGCTGAGGAATCAGGTTGTTTGTGAGAAGGATCAGATACTGAATATGCCGGAGTAGCATCGGTCGTTGCATGCTCATATGATGGAAGATCATCAATTATAGCGCTTTTTTCAACTAAATTAGAAGAGCCACTTTTCAATTCCTCCTCTTTATCTTTTGCGCCATTATCAGAAGAATATTCTACTGGGATGGCGACGTCCTGAGCAGGCTGTTGCGAATTCTCTTGATCAGACATTAGAACGGCTTAATAAAATTCAATAAATTCGCAAAAAGACAGAATCTTTGTAGGGCTGGGTTTTGAGCTTGTGTTCTGCATATGCATCTCCTATAAATAGGCTATTGCCATCGCATTTCAGGACAAAAAGAGAAATATATATAAATAAAAAAAGATCTTATTTATTTATTCATTAATTAACGTTAATGGCTATCACTATTATTAGTAATGTCAAAGTTTAATAATTAGTGATCCCAAACATTAAACCATATAAGGCACTGTTCAATCAAAATAATCGGTTCTGCATAATGAACCGTCGATGTTACACGACTGATCCTTCACCCGGCGTGCAACATATAAAAAAAAATTTTACCATTCCGCTAGGGATGTTAAGTAGTCTGACTACTTTAGCTTTTACAGTACAATTTATATGTAACCTAGCTGGTTACATATAAATTGTACTGTAAAAACTAAAAAACAGTCTGACTACTTAGCATCCCTACATTCCGCTAGTAATCCCACACTATGTTATTATAATAAAAAATGGAGTGGGATTATAATCATATAACATATACTAGCGGAATGATCTGGTATTGTAAAATGGGGTTTTTTATATGTTGCACACCGGGTGAAGGATTAGTCGTGTAACATCGACGGTTCCTCCTGTTGCATAATGATAAATCCGGAATGTACTTGACTAATTACACTCCGTTAAAGCTATGAATTTAGCATACCGATACCTATTATAAAAGTTTAAATTTTAATTATAGAATCACAACCACTAATAATAATCACTTAAAAAATATATAAATAGTTTTAACGTTAAAAATATTTAATGTTAATGTTAGGGTGAGGTCTTGCAGTTACTGTATACGTAATTCATGCTAAACAAAGTTTTCTTTTGAAACACATCATACTTCAAACATTTGTTTTTCCATATGTTTTTTTTTGTACACGTGCTAACATGTGTGCGGAATATTAAAAAGTTATTGGTTTATATGGATTTAGCGGTCCAAATCCTTAGTTAAAAACCCAACCGGTTGGTACATAATCGATTGATAATAACCACAAATATTTTTACTTGTCTATATTTGCCACCAAAATTGACAAAGCACAGGAACTCCACTACACTTTTGCAATAACGTGATATGGCGCATTGTGGCACATTCGGATAAGCTTTTTGGCTTTATGTTATGTTTTCGGCTAGGATTCGTGGTTATACACCTTAAAAGATCGTGTCCAGCATTTTTTGTTAGTGCCCAAAGACCGATTTAAGGTTAGTAGGCATTATTTAAAATTATATATAAGCTTGATGATAAATATTTTTTATAATTTAAATTCTAAAACTTTTTATTAATTAAATTTATTTTAAGCTTTTAAGCAAATTTATAGAATAGGGTTTTGTGATTCTAACAGTAATAATTTTATTAAAGTTAGTTAAAATCTTATTAAATTATCAAAATTTAAAGATTAGGTATAATTTTTTATTATAAAGTTTTTTTTTATGAACTATAAATTATTTTGTACTACTTAGGCAAATTTGAGTTAATTCAAGCAAACTTTATAACATATCTAAGTATATTATTTAATATATATATTATAAAAAGTTTATAGACTCAAAAGAGACTAGTTTAATATATAATAAAATAAAAAATAAAAAGTTTATAGATTTTTATTAAAATTTAAAAAAAATTATTTTTTTTCCCTTAAGCAGTCATGCTGCTTTATTAAGATTTTGAAATTATATTTGCAATTACATAAATATCCTTAACAACTAAGTCCAGCATCACTTGGTTATCCTAATGGTATCTAAGTGCAATCTGCTGCATTACTTTAAACAGAAGTAAGCCATTTATCTGATTACTTAAAGTTTATAATGAAAAATCTTCTTTTCTTCATAACAAATTCTAAAATTGTTTTCTGTATTTCTTTTTTTGATTTGTTTTTCTTTTTCTTTTACTTTCACTTTTTTTTTTTTTATTATTTGCTAATTTGGAGGTTTTTTTTTTTTTAGTACTTTCTTCTTTTTTTCTTTTTTTTTTATTCTACCTATTATTTCTTTATTTTCCTTCTATTTATTAATTTTTTTATATCAGATTCTTTATATTTGTTTGTAAAATATGTTTCAGATTATTCTTACTATTACATTCATAAATTGTTGTTTTGATTTTGTACTTAGAAACTACCTCAATTTGTCTTGTATTTTTTTTAAAATAAGACCTTTAATTAGTAACTCTTTTATTTTAATTTTCTTTGTTTCTGTTTTTTTAAAAAATGCTATATATAGTACATATAGAGAAACTCAAACTTTTTCTTCTTTTTTCAATCTTTTTTAGATTGTTGTAATAGTTATTTTTTGAATTCTTTTCTAAAGATTCTTTTATTCTTTATATGCTATCAGATATGACTATGTTTCTTTTATTTTATCTTGATATATTTGACATTCTATTGTTATATATACATCAAGTCTTTTTTTGTTAAGTTCTTCTAAGATCAGAAGTTTATTCATTATGCACTTTATAAATGCACTTCTTCTAGTACTACTTTTTCTTATTATGCAATATACTTTTTTAAATATCTTCAGTCTTTTCCAAAAATATGTTCAATTATAAATCTTTACTTCTGTTTCTGGTTCTAATTCTTTAATTGCTTTCATTTTTTTCTATTCTGTTTCTAATCTTATATTTATTATTAACTTACAAAGCAGTTTTGCTAATATGTTAGTATGTTTATTTTTCTACTCTAAGCAATACTTTATCTTTTTATAACTGACTTCTTTAACCTGTATTATCTTTTTACTTGTTGCATTTTTTTTTGCTAAACTATTAGTTTTATTATTTCATCTATTTTTATTATGATTTTTAACTTTAACAAATTCTATTTGAATGTTCTTTATTATAATAAGCTTTCTAACCTTTATTATCCATATTGAATTCTTCTTTTTTAGGATCTTATTTTTATATATTTGTTCTAAATTTCTACTAATATTTCTTATTGCAATATTACTATCTGTATATATTTCTATTTGTTTTTCTTTTGATATTATTAAAATTGCTACCTATATCATTACTATTGTTAATGTTTGTCAT